CTCACCCCAACAAACTGGGGTCCTGCATTTCCTCCTGCCGAGCATCTTAAAAGAAGGTCGACCAATGCTAGCCTGGTAACTGTTATTAAATGAAAATTCCACTAAAGGAATATATATATATATATATATATATATATATATATATATATATATATATATATCCCAACTCCCACCAAAATCCAATACATATTCACACAGCATATCCTCAAGGGCCTAGATAGTCTACTCACTCTAACCATCGGTTTGTGGATGAAAATTTGTGCTTGTTGAAACAATAATCAAGTTCGTTTGATTTTATAAACAATAATGAAAAATATAAAGATAAGAAGGAAGATCAATATGGTGTCGAATGCTTAGATTAACAAAACTCTAGAAGAGTTCAACGTGAACTTCTCTGTAATAGCTAGGTAGGGAGATACAATTGTTACTAATGTTACATGCATGCATACTAAATAGTCTAACCCTAGAAAACCATAATTACGGATGGATAGGCCCAACCCATTAGACTATTCACAGACAAAACATTTTGACATAGCACATTAATAACCCAACAATCTCCCCTTTGTTTCAAATAAAGAAAGGAGATTCTTCATTGTTGTATCTTCTAAACCGTGAACAGCATGGGCGAATACTATATCAATTACATATGAAATTAAGCCCAATACTCTTTTCTTTTCATTCCCTCTTCAATTCTCGGTTATATATATATATATATATATATATATATATATATATATATATATATATATATATATATATATATATATATATATATATTAAAAAAGGAGAAATAAGATTATCCTAATACTTGACACCTCACTAATGACCCACATATAACCATGCATTATACAACATACATCTAGGCATAAGTGATTAACCATTAAGAAATGAACCAAACTAATCTCTATCTTCCTCTCCTTAAACTTGGCCAAAGATCCCCATATTTATCCCCACTTCATCCATTTTTTCAATCACTAAACTCCTCTAATACCTCTCAAGAACACACAAAGCAATCCTTCCCTTTTCCCCTTTTAAAATAGTAGGGTGTGTGGGTTAGCTCAAGAAGATCACTTCAACGTTCACATTCTTGGTAAGCCTTTAACTAAACTCAAGTTGATTAGTTCCATTTTATGCTAGATTATTCCTCATAAACACCTTGTTTTCGTGATCATGTTCTTAGAACTCTCTAGGATTCGAAAACTCATCTGAAGGAAGCATCCAAGACCGAAAACATCATCACTATCTTTCATTTCTTCATCAAAACCGATCCATCACCCAAGGTAAGCTTCATACCCCTCATTTTTCTGTGGTTTACTAACTTTTCAGGGTGGATACAAGTTGGTTTTGTGTTAAATCTAAGTATTTGTGCATGCTTGTGTGTATTTTCATGATATGTTGTGTAAATATGTTATGAATCTATGTTAAACCTTCATAAACTCGACATATTTCCAAGACATGAAGATCTTAGGAAAAACATGTTACTTTATGTAACTCTCTTTGATCTTAAAATGAATAAGAATGTTGAAAGAATAGTATAAAACTAAAGAAAACCTAAAAAGGGGCCAAAATTGTCAAATGAACAAAAGTGAGTCTTTTATGATACTCACGATTTTAAGGGGACCAAAATAGTCATTTTTGGATAAAAATTGGTTAATATGACATTCACGATTTTGTGGGGGTCAAAAGTGTTATTTTTTACAAAATGGGTTTCTTTTGGGCCTTCTCTGTTTTAATAGGCTAACATGGTCATTTTTCATAAAAAATGGCCTTATTTGGAAATTCATGGTTTCATAGGTCTAAAATGTAATTTTTGGCCTTTATGGACTTATATTGTCAGTTTTAACAAAAATGGGCTTAAAATGTAAATCCTCGGCTTAATGGACTGAAAATGTCATTTTTATCAAAAATGGACTTAGAATGTCGTTTTTATCAAAATGGGCCTTAAATACCTATTTACATGTTTATTGGGTCTTAAATATCAGTTTACATGCTTATTGGGCCTTGTGTACTTATTACATGCTTATCAGGCCTTATGTTCTCATTACATGTTTCTTGGATCTTATACACCCATTCACTCTCTTATTGGGCCTTACGACACATTTTATACTAATCGGCTTGATAACATTAAATATTTGACATTTTGATAAAAATAAATAGTATTTTATCACCAATGTTTTGTAATCAACTACATATTCGAAACATTATTTAAAGCGATAAATAATGTAATACATTGTACGCATAAATTTAGGTAAGGCTCTTGTGAGACAATTTCTTCACTTGTACCTACCTAGTGTACACCGTAAGTCTTGTAGTTATAACCAGAGTCTCCTGGAAGGAGACTGAGAGTTTGTGTATAGATCTATATGGGGTTGACACCCCACACATGAGCTGTTTGCTACAGCTAGACTAGGCCACTCTAGGGTGACAAATATCTTACCTTAAATAAGCTTCGCCTGAAGAACATCATGACAGGCATAACAATCACATCAAGCATGGTTATAATGACTCACATAGAGATTAACAAACACTGTCAATTTACGGAATACATATACTCTACTGTTGTTACAAAACCATACAAATACCATTTTCGGTCTTAGGGTTTTAAGACCACAATACTTTTACAAGCACAAAATATCGGATTTTCTAGGAAACATACACTATAAATTACAATTTACTTACAACAGAAAATATAGGATTTTCTAGAACTCTCTCTTTATACATTTTCGAAAAAAGAATACACATGCTTTAATACAAGATTTGAAACAAAACTCTCAAACCATTTTTACAGAAAATATCAGATTTTCTGGTGTTTACAAAGTAATACAAGGTTTTTCATACAAACATGCTTATGAACTCACCAACATTATATATGTCGACGTTTCAAAATAACTTGTATTCTCAGAGACTTGTTAAGCAGGTCGGTCATCAAGAATATGTGGATTTTTGTTGTATTTTTGTTATCATCATACATTTAACATTTGGAATGTAATTTGTAAACCAACACACTTATGTAAACTATGATGGTTGTTATATTTCATGTGTAATGATGATGTTGTCTTTGATTCAATTATATACACTGTGATGATATTACAAGATGAAGTCATCCGCCCCCGAACGTTTTCGTCGTCTGGTTCAAGGGTGTGATAGTTGGTTCGAGAACGATTTACTAGAATCGCAATGAAGAAGGAGAAGAAGTTGGAAGGACTCAAACTTCGAAATATAATTTTAGCCGCTCGACTTATATAAATAAAATCAATAGGCAAATATAATATTTTAAACATTATTTCATTCCTATTATGATGCTGGTATAATTGGTAAAAGATAAAGCATTCAAAAACATTGTTGAAAATACGGGATATGATGATATATGACATTAAAAATGTATTTAAAAGCACACGAAAAATATGGTAACCGAATGGCTAATTACTAGGAGATGATCAAGATGTTGATATCGTTTATTCTAATTCTAGGATTCTAAGATGCAGTGGGCAGAAAATAACTCATAAGATAGATGAAAATGAGACATGTGGATTGAAGGAGGTGTAGAAAGAGGACACATGGAGGCTTAAAGTCTTATATATATATATATATATATATATATATATATATATATATATATATATATATATATATATATATATATATATATATAGGAAAAGTGAATATACCCTTAAGGATATATAACGATAGGTACGCTAACCCACCATAATACATCGTTTTGTTTGATATATTTATTATAATGTTCTTAAACTTCAACCCTAACTTGATTTACTTTCAAGATTTTCGGAATTTCACTATTATATTTCTCTTACATCACATCTTTATGTCGGACACCTACTAGGTTTTATATATTGTAGTTAAAAATTAAAATTGTGTAAGGGGAAGATAAATATAAAATTTATATAAATCTTGGAATTAAATCAAGTTAGAAGTTGAATTAGAAGAACATTGGATAATTACAATATCTATATATGATAGAAAACGGTGTAATATTGTGAGTTTGGGTACCTAAGCTTATATACCCTTAAGGGTATATTCACTTTTCCCAATATATATATATATATATATATATATATATATATATATATATATATATATATATATATATATATATATATATATATATATATATCAATTCGACCACAATCATTATAAACCACAAAGATATATTTGAGAATTATGAATTAGTTTCAAAAAAATAATAATAATAAACTTGAATTAAAGAAAAAACATGTATAAATGAAATTATTTTCTCGTATCCCATCCTAAATGAGTTTACTATTACCACACAATAAGACATGCAAATTTTGATACTTTCCGACATTTCCAAAACAAAATACCACAATAAACCAATTTTAAAGATGAAAAAATAAGATATATAAATGGCATACCCTTGACTGCATAATTGTTGAGTTGAGCATGCTCCATATCAAGCTTCCAGCAACAGTAATGAAAGCAAACTCTTGCCCAAATTTCGATTCTTGCTATTACCATGTATTTAATGGATGGGGTATATGCAACAAATAACAATGTATTTAGTTGATTTGTTTATTATGGTGTCCTACTTCCATTTGTTTTTTCCAGTTAGAGCATTGTAAGTTGAAAAATATATGTCCACACCTCAATGATAGCAAACTAGCAATGTCTTCCAAATACAAGCAATTTCCAGCACTCAAATAGTATAATTGGGTAGATTAAAATTTTAATGCCCTCATAAGGAAAAAAAAAACAAAAAAAACAAAAGTGCAACTTTACTTTTTATGTAGAATTTTCATATTCCGATGCCTTAATAAAAAAATAACCGTAAAACATTGCCATAGAAAGGAATGAAAAAACAGCTTGGGAGAATGATGCCCAATATGTATCCAAGAAAAAGACAACATAATCCATAACATCAGATAAGATTTTTGTTTCCAGCATGTTCATATAGATAACTTAATCATAGATAGGATAACGTCAATAAGATTAGTCAAAGAAAACCAAGTATAAAGTCCAAACAATCACCAATAATCTTTGCAAGAACAAACTCCACTTTCAAAATGATGGAACCTCCTTTCATCACGTGCAACGATTGATCTTCCAACCAGCTTTGAAATAATCTTCAACGCATCATGACAATCAGCACAAATACGATGGTTATTTATTATTCTTATTGGCGCCCGGGCTGAACTAGTCAAAAGTGCTTCAGATAAAGCAAGCATGCAACTATGTGATAAAAGATATTCTTCTCTACTTTCATGATCCACATCATGGAGTACCAATCTAGTCTGGGCTACATATCCAACTTCTACCATGTTTTGTTTTAGACACCTAAGTTGATTGTATAACTTCTCATGATCAGGGGGAGATGTATCCCAGCCCCTAAACGGAAAAAGTTTCGGTTATATTTCTTAGGAGATTTAACGTTGATGATTTATATTTTTCTTTTTCTTTTTCTTTTGCAATATCTGAAGGCTTTATTGGTATCAAGCCTTTTTCTGATTGTTTATCTAAACGAGAAGGGTCCCGAAGTTTAACAATATCAGCACAACGGTCTCCGAGTTCTAAATCCACGTGAACCCTAGATTGATTCATCATGATTTCCCAAATTTCTGCACTTGGCTTCATCGGCATCTTTTCTATTAATTCCAATGCTTCATTTAAGTATCCTGAACTCCCGAGCATATCGACTACATGGACATAATCATCCATAGATGGGACAAGATTGTAAGTCTTTGTCATTGATTTGAAATGTGATAGCCCTTGTTTCATGTCTCCTATGATTTTACATGCAGCAAAGATACCATGAAATATCTGATTATTGGGTTTTAATCCAACCTTTTTGAATTCGGTGAACATTTTGATTGCGTCATCTCCATGGCCGTTTTTAGCAAACCCTGTTATCATGGTGTCCCAAGAAGCAAGATTTTTTTGGGGCATTTTATCAAACATGTTGTATGCGTCTTCCATGGAACCACACTTTGAATACATTTCCAAGATTTTGTTGCAAATGTGAACATCAAGGTGATGACCTGACCTTGTGAGGTGGTTATGGACAAGTTTAGCTTCTTTAAGTGCCTGAGATTCTCCACATGCTTTCATCAAGAATAGATATCCAAGCATTTCAACTGATACTTTGTTCAGCTCAGGTAAACCTAAAAAACTCCACAACTTCCGTTAGTTTCTGCTCCATGCATATAGCATTAAGCTCCTCAAGTAATCCCTTTTGCTCACCAGCTTTATCCGACTTCTCATTAGGTTGAGAGTAACATGGCACTTGAGAACTTACTATGCCACTATAACACCTCTTTGAGATTTGAAAACTCGCTACACTAGTCTTCTGATTATAAGACCCATTGATGTTATACTGGCTGTGACGATGGAAACCATAATCACCCATGGAATAGCTCTGCCCATAAGCACCACTTAAATTTCTCTGAAAACCCATCGAAGTTTGTCTATAAAATCCATCAGGGTTTTGGCTACATTCACTAAACTGATTAGGGTTTTGGAGATCAAAGATCTCATCGATAGTATCAGAATTGAGTGTGCTAAATTTTTTAACAAAAGGAAGGGATTTGAAGGAACAATCTATGCAATAACTGCGTGAACTATTTATAGCATTGCATACCTTATAGAGATGATTCGGAGATTTCATCGTTTGGAATGACATCACTGTTGCTTGAAACATGCTTTGCTCGTAGAAGTTAATCGGCGTCCGTCTGTGTTTTTTACGGCTGCCACGAAGGGAGTGATACGCCGTTCCCAATGCAGGTTCTCTAATCGACGTCGACTACTTCATGCCATTTATGAAGTGTAGAATGATATGAACCGAAAATATCATATATCATATCAAATTGGAAAAAAGATCCGATTGGCTGTATCTTAACAAACTCAGCAACATAAACGGAATACAGTATATTTTAGATGTTATAAAAATTGATTGATCATTATTAATTTGATTTTTCTAATATATTGATTTTTTTATTATTTAGTTTTGATAACTAACTATTCAATTAATATATCTTTCGTTCAATCTTGTATCTTGTATCTTGTATCTTGTATCTTGTATTGTTAATAAAAGAAACCAAAATCCACATGTCATTCATCTCAATGGAGGTTTCGACCATTGTAAAATTACCTTTCTGCCCTTCGTTTAAATATATGATATAAATGAATAACCTGCGCTTTTAAATGATATGATATGAATGAATATATGAATATGAATTAGGTATAAATCTCTATGTTTACGGAAATTATTTGAAATCCTCCAAGGTTTAAGGAATTATTTGTGCATATATATTGAAATCATATTCAATTTTTATGGAATTTACGAAAATTGATATGGTCCGAATTAATTTATAAAGTACAAATCATACTTTCGTGCATATATACACCAATTCTATAATTCTGGTGACTTCTTCATCGCTGACAAAGAATATCAGTCTACTTCAAAGTAAATTCTTGTGCAATATCAGGTTAGTATTTTATACAATCAAATTCTCAATATCATTCATATGTTTTGTGTGATTTCGATATATATCATATATCTCTAATTTGAAAAACCTGGTATGCCTTTGTTGGGTTCTGTGATGTATTGTTTTGAAACATCTTATTTACTAAACTCTGCACGATGAATGGAACTCTTGGCCTAGAGTTTGACTTTCACTTTGAATATAAGAGTTAAGTCCGGTACTAATTGCCATTTGTTAATAACTTTTTATCTAATCTGCTTATGTGTACTTCTTGGTTCATTCTCATTGAAGTTCTCTGTCACTCTTAAAATATCATTGTATGTGTGAATCGCCATGTCGATTGCTTCGTTTAAGATTATTTCCATTGACCAGGGAGGGAAGAGAGATTACTGAGTTTTCAAAAGTTATTGAGCTTCACGAGCTGCCTTCTCTTGTGTTTCAGCTTCCCTGGCAATTCGCAAATTCTCATCTAATTCCGCATCATGAGATTTTCGCTTTAGCTTTGCATTTTCATCCTCTTCTTCATCATCATTATCATCAGAAAGTTTTCTTTTACCTTTTGATGCCGAAGCTTCATTACCCTTCTGATCATTAGGATTCGACTTGTGTTCATACTCATTAAAGCCACTTGTTGGTTTCTTAGATGGTTCACTAGATGCTTTCGTCACTTCTCCCCCTTGTTTTCGAGGAGAGCTTGATGTCGGAACACCTTCAATTCTATTAAGCTGTAACGCCCGGTTTTCAGGGCTAAGCATATTTGTTAATGTAATAGCCTAGGTCAAATCTTGTAACTCTTTTTGAAGTAATAAAGATGAAATATTTGAGTATTATGTGAATTATGTGTGTTTACGTGCTTAAAATTTAATTATAAATGTATAATTAATAAAGAATAAAAATAAATGTCAAAATTAAAGTGTGAGATAAGCCCAGTATCTCTACATAAAGTTGTAGTGGTTGAAACAAGGATTCTGGAGATATAAGGAATGCCGAAATCCGAGTTATAACGAAGAAGTTATGGCCCGTTGAAGTTTCGTGACAGAATTGACACGATACCGGGAAACGTAAATAGTGAATTTACGATAGAGCGAGATTTAGCCTTAGCGATCTAAACGAAATTCATAGAATATGTTAAACTAAGAACATCGATAAAAAGAACGCCCAAAATCTAACTTCGTATGAGGAAGTTATGATTTTTCGAAGTTTCGAGTTAGTAGTGTACAGCCCGAAATTCGAATATTAGACCGAGCGGTTTTTAGCCAACACGACCTAAACGAGAATCGAAGATCTCATTAAAAGTAACGTAACGAGAAAATGATGGGCAAAAAAGGATGTCGGATGAAGAAGTTATGAGGATTTAACGGACCAATCCTGTCCCGGCCTATTAATAATGTACAATTTAAAATCGAATCAAAATTACCGATGCAGTCTAACCGAAAGTTGTAGAGTACGTTCCCACATTTGCGTGGATATAAAGAACATCAAAAACGGAGCTCGTTTGCACAAGATACGAATTTTTGAAGTTCGGAATCGAATTTCCGAGACCTGGTGCGAAGCAGCTAACGTGGCAGCGCCACAGCCGTCTAATACCGATGACAAGGCTCGCTTCTGATCAGCGCCACATCGCCTCGCTTTCGCCCTACGCCCCACGTACGAGATTCGGTACGCCCAACGTACCTTCGAGTCTTATCCATCCGGAGTGTGAGACAGATGGCAACTCTATCCGAGAGTACGCCCAGCGTTCCCTCGGTACACCCAGCGTACCACCAAGGTCCAGCCCCTATAAATAGATGCGAACTCCTCCGGATTTTTCACACCATTTCTCATTCTCTCTCTAAAATCTTTCTCTCTCTAGGGTTTTGAACCCTCCCTAAAGTCTAGGTGAACCCCTAGCACCCTAAGGAAGCCCCGAGGCTCCCGGAGTCCCAAGAAAAAGGAGTCTTTCGATTTCGAAACGCTGCTCCAATTAAGTTCCGGTTATCGATAAAATTCGCTGTAAGTGAGCTACGCTTACGCAATTTTTAGTATAGCTTTCAAATAATTATAGGAGAGTTACTAGGTCCTTAAAATAATTATTTGGGCTATTATTATGAGTTATATTGAGTGTTATTTAACAGTTATATAATAATAATAACAGTCAGACTATTAATTTGTCGCGGTTGACGTTAGACTAAACCCTAGTGGTATCGATACTAGGTTTTATCGAAGGAAAATCGTTTTGAGAGTATCAAAGCGCTGTCAGAGTGCCGAGTCACCACCTTTTCAAGTGAGTGCATAGTTACTTTTAGCTTACACCTAGATATGAAGTATTTTTATATAAATTACGTGCTATGTGTGCATATTCTCTGAATACTTGCTATCTATGCTGGATGAACGTTTTTATACATGTTTTCAATGATTTAAATTGTATATGTATTTTATATCTACGAAAATGTTGGGGTAAAACATGGGTAGATGTAATAGGTGATGTGTGATAATATGATGAGAGGCCTCAATTTTGATGTTGTTGATTCTGTCATTTAGCGGAGTATGGATGACAATCACGGACTCTTCTAGATAGTCCACATGGTTGCCTTTAGGACATGTATTGCTGAGGAACCCCCTTAGCAGTATTGTCCATCCTGATGATGATCCTTAGGATAGGTCCCTTGTGATATGTGTTTATGGATGTAATGTGAGGATAACAGGAACTGGTAATCGGGTTATTGTTGATTGATTAAATTAATAAACTTATTTATTGTGGGTTGAAAACCCTATGTGCTCACCAGGCTCCCAAGCCTGACCCACTCAGTTTTATGTATTACAGGTAGTGGCGCATGAGCACAGATGTGATGTTTTGGATGAGGGATTACGGATATAGGCCAGTAGATATGAAATAATGTAGTAAGGCTTATATTGTATTGTTTATACTTATTTACTGTATCGATCATGACATCCCAAGTCTTTTAATGAAATACATTTCTAAGGAAATGCTTTTGATAACTCTTTATCATAATATTGTTTTGGGACAAATTCCGTAACTCTTTTAGTAAAAGGTTACTCTGATTTTGAAATAAAGTATAAACAAAACCGGTCTTTCTGGCCGTGATTTTGGGGATGTCATAGTTGGTATCAGAGCATTAGTTTAAGCGAACTAGGAATTTGTAGGATTTCTAGACTTAAACTTAGAATGCTAAGCGATGATTGTGAGGTGTGAGAACTAGCTTGTTTTAGGAATTATGCCTAAAATGCTTTTATGTGCTAAATTCTTCGTGCTTAATATGTTGTTAATTGTTCGGATCTATGGTCTATTGCCGACTGGATCTGGAAACCTTATGTGTTTAGGATTCTAAACGTACGACTACGATATTAGAACTAGCATATAAACGTTTCAGATAGATAAGGATGATTTGAACATCAGTCCTAAATAAAGATCTAAATTCACCTTATTCGGTGTATAGATCAAGATGGCAAGGACCCGTAGCGGAAACGTGAACGCAAATGGAGATAGGAACCAACCCCCAGTCGTTCAGCAAATACATGTTGTTGAGGAAGTTGCACCTGAGCCAGTCACCATGGATGGAGTTCAAGCCATGATTCAGACTATGCTAGCTGAACAAAGGGAAGAAATGAGATGGATGCTCCACGAGAATAGGGACGAACCTACCATACATGTTGAACCGATGGAGCCAGTTCCTGAGCAATCTGAGGAAGGGAACTACAGCTGCCAAGTGAGTCAAATAGGGACCCAAGGTGAGCAAAGGGATGGCCCAGAAGGGAGAAACAACAAGGATGGGTGGATGTACAAAAAATTCTTGGGTGCGAAACCACCAAGTCGCTCAGGAAGCCCAAAGCCTGTTGAGATTATGGATTGGATCTCCGAGATGGAAATGATGTTTGAGAGCTGGGACTGCAGCGAGAAGCAGAAGACTATCTTCGCTGTGAGACAATTGAAAACTAGAGTCTTGAGCTGGTGGAAGCTATTGGCAGATACAATGCCGCGAGGAGAAGCTCTGAAAATTTCATGGGATGAGTTCTTGGAACAACTGAAGGCGCAATACTGTTCAGAGATAGATTTGATTGATCTGAACAATGAGTTCCAAAATTTGAAGAAGGGGAGAATGAGCATCGATGACTATGCTGTTGCATTCACAGAAAAGATGGAGTTGCTACCATGCCTAGTGCCAACCGAACTTTCCAAAATTGAGAAGTTCGCGAACGGACTGTCGGCTGACTTTGGCCCAACATTCAAGATGGCAACCACTCTGAAATCAACCGTTCGAGCAGCTAAGAATGTGGAGACCTAACAAAAGGAAAGAGGTTTGGAAAGGGCTGAGGTTGGTGAGAAACGGAAGTCCGATGGATCCTCGAAGTCCAACAAAAAGAGTAGATTCTCGAAGTCTGGTTCGAGAGGAGGAGGATCAGAAGCGAAGTGGTGTGACAAGCGTAAGAAGAAGCACTCTAGGAAGTGTGATGGAGGGGTCACTTGTTTCAAATGCGGAAAGCTTGGGAACTATGCCAACGAATTCACCCTCATCCAGGAGGCATGTTATGGGTGTAATGAAGAAGGGCACATTTTGAAGGACTGCCCAAAGAAGAAGGAGGCAGGAAGACCCAACATACCTCCGAAGCCGAAGGCGAAAGCCTTCCAGATGACGCTCGAGGCTGCAAAGGAGGCAGCAAATGTTGCTTCAGGTACCTTTTGTAACGCCCGTGTTTCTAGGCTTGCCATTTTTAGCAATGTAATAGTCTAGGTTAACCTTGTAACTCAACTTGAAATAATAAGAATGTATTATTTGTGAATTATTTGAATTAGGTGATTTATGTGTGTATTTTCTTAATTTTTATAATTTAATGAATTAAGAATAAAATAAGCATCAAAATTAAAGTGTGAGATAAGCCCGACATCTTTGCATAAAGTTGTAGTGGTCGAAACAAGGATTCCGGAGATATAAGGAATGCCAAAATCCGTGTTATAACGAAGAAGTTATGACCTGTCGAAGTTTCGCGACAGAACCGACACGACGCCGAGTGACGTAAAATATGAATTTAAGATAGAGCGATATTTAGCCTTAGATCTAAACGAAAGTCGTAGATTTCGTTAAACCGAGAGCGTGCATAAAAGGAACGCCCAAATCTGACTTCGTATGAGGAAGTTATGATTTTCTGAAGTTTCGACTTAGTAGTATGCAGCCCGAATACTCGATTTGAGATCGAGCGGTTTTTAGCCGAAACAATCTAAATGAGAATCGAAGATCTTGTTGTTAGTAGCGAAACGATGAAAAGTTAGGCGAGAACGGACGTCAGACGAAGAAGTTATGAATTTATAACGAAGTTTTTCTGTCCCGGCCTTCTAAAAATAAATAATAAAAATAAAAGTCAAAATTAGCCGACGGAGTCTAAATGAAAGTTGTAGAGTATGGTCTGACCTTCGCGTGGATATAAAGAACGTCGAAAACGGAGCTCGTATGCGAAAGTTACGCAATTTAGAAGTTTGACAAGTCAATTACGCCCCGCGTACTCAGTCGGATGCAACTTGTCTGACCAATACTCGAGTGCCACCAGTCGACGCACGCAGTGACGTCAAAGTACGCCCCGCGTAACCCGAGTACGCCCCGCGTAATTTGAGTACGCCCCGCGTAATCCCAACCCAGCAGCCTATAAATAGAACTCGAATTCAGCCATTTTCTCTTGTTCAAACTCTTCCCTCTCTCTAAGTTTTGCCTCGTTTTGCGTGCCGTTTATACCCCAAAGCCCCGGTAATATTCCCGAGCCCCGA